GGACTTAGTTAGCTAGGGTAAATAATTATTTGTAGCTTTCTGTTGAATATTGTTTTAATTATGATAAATTGATTAGTTGCTAGAAATTTCTGATATTTGGCTGAGAGGCTTTTTTCATGTTTATTTTCATGCTGTAAAAATATTGGAATTTCCGAAGTTCGAATTGGTTCCGTTTTGATTAAAATTTTTAAACTGCAGAAAACCGTATGAATTTTCATAATTCGTGTATTTGATGTTAATAGCTGTAATTTTTATAGGTTGGTCCTTACCTGCTGTCGTTGCTCCATTAAAAATTTCAAACAAAAATTCATTCATTAGGTCAGGCTTCGGATTTTATGCTCGTTTATTTTGAAATCGCGTTTGAATTTTATAAATTTGTGTATAATGAGTTTGGGGCTGAAACTTGGTGGTTTTGTTAAGTCCAGTGAGATGGATTTTATGTTAAAGTTTCAGAACTTAACTCAATAGGTTCCCCGACCTTCTTGAATTGGTGTATTTGCTCGTAATTGGTCGAGTCGAGTCCAAGTATTCCAATATCCACAGGACTTCACGAACAACTTGGTTGAATCAAGTTCGACCAATGTATGCTTGTGATTGTTCTCTAAGGTCAAGTAAGTGTTGATCTTAGTATATAATTGTTGTAGGTGTTTGACGAGCCGTGTTCGCTGCCTACTCTCGATTGTGTGCCATTTTCCCTTGCTATACCAGGTGGGTTTACTTATTCAAAACTTGCTATGCCATATATGTGTGTTTCTTGTTGATATGGTATGATTTTAGTGTGTATGTAAATCATGTAGCCTATCAGCGTGAGCCGATGTCGGCCGTCGGTACGGTTGTCCCCGTCGAGTTACGGTACGGTTGCCCTTGCGAGGCAAGTCTCCGTAAAGACCTAATGAAAGGCCGTGTCCGTTACAGTGGCACGTACCCTCATGAGTTAGGGTAATGAATCCCCTATCCTTGGCTAATGAGAGATGTGTACACGTGGGTAATATGTTATGATGTGATGTGATTTGGAGACGTGACAAATGATTGCTTTATGTTCATACTCTAACCATACCAACTGTTATTATTATATATGTGCATAGTGGTGAGCACGTTTATTATCTTGTGCTCATCCCCACCTGCTCTTCACCGATGCAGGTTAAGCAACAACCGGGTGACGAGGAAGGGACGAGTTGGGTCGGTCTAATTACTTATGCATTTTAATTACTTCCGCTGAACTTGAATAAGTCTGTTGCACGTTATGTTTTTGTGCAAACTATTTTCGAACCTTGTGTGTTGGTTTTGAAACTTATGAACCTTTGTCGTTTTGGGATTGATGTTTGGTTATTTATTTCATGAGTTTATGTTGGTTAATGAAAACCGATTGTGAAAACCGGGTAATGAATCCCCGTAGGCCCAGATAAGACTTGGGATATGAAAAATGTTAGTTAACACCCACTAAGTTTTCGAAAATGATTTTGAAAATTTTATACTGGTTTTTGGAAAATTTGAAATTTCTGTAAAATCAAAGTGGGGTGTTACAGTTTGGTATCAGAGCCAGTCTGCGTTTTTTGTAGACTGGTTTATATGTGATTATGTGTTTAGACCTTGTAATATGACCACTCGTCTCCGTCACTCCGCGCTGCTTAAGGTATGTTTTATAAGTATCAATGAAAATACTTA